GTAATGTTAATATTACGATGATTTCTTATTGGAATGTAAATTCTTTTAAAGAAATAATATCGTAATAGTTACAGTAGTTTATCTATGACTACTCTTCATTTGTTATGTTCTTACTGTAGCTGCGTCCTTCAGAAATTTAATTATTTGCATGACTTTCCAGCTCTCAATTTTCGAACGATAAAATTAACGAAAAAAAGGGGGAATACACGAGGAAAAATCATGCATTTTAAGTTGACAAACTCGATGGCGATAACGCATATTAGCTTAAAATAAGTTAAAAAATTTTAACTTAAATTTATGTCAAATTCATATAAGCCATAATTTAGGCAAAATTATGATGCACGAATTTTAAATTAAATTTATCTCAAATCAATTAAAAATAATAATTTAATCTTGAATAAAGTAAACTCAAAAGCGTATTCCTTCCTTGCTAATAAGACCAAAACATGATGAATATAAATTTCATCTACTAGCATTTAGTGTACAATTATTCTACTAGATGGCGCTCATACCAAAACTTCCAGCTCATCGTCGCTTTAAACTGCTTTGCAGAAAGTGATTCAAAATGATACATTACTTTTACACCTTCTATTTTCCACATTTATGACAAATATTCCAAGTGTAGCAACAGTAAAAGAAAAATAACGTTATTTTCTTTACATGCAAAGAAATATTTATAACTGCATATAGAGAATATGTTGTAATTCTGCGAATTAATTTTACAGTAATATTTTATGAGTATTCTGACACATTGGTGCTTTTAGTAATCTCGATCACACATAAAATATACGAAATAAAAAAACTTCAACCCAAAGCTTTCATATTAAAATATGATACCTCAAAGAAGGGGTGAAATGTATGTAAAAAAAAATTAAATTTACAAATTTTGCGATTCGCTTTTTAAACAGAAATAATACCTGTTGTTGGTACTTAATAAAAACTAAATCTTACGACCCAATAATATTAAAGCCCGATTCAAGAATGAATTTGAATCTTTAACTCTACGACGCTTGATTTGAATCTCTAGTTATATACGTAAATTGATATAAATACGAAAATATTAAAAAAGCATGTTAACATTTGAAAAAATAAAAGAAGGATAAATACACAAAATGTCTTGCAATCTATAGATTACTATGAAACTTCATCATCATAATCATTAGATTTTATTTTTAATGTAGATGCCAGTATACAGTAGGAATTCTAAAATCGACTTAGAGTATTTTATTTATGACCCTCATGGCATATAATATGTCACAAAATATTAAGAAATCCAGATAATAGATAACTTTTTAAATAATTCATCTGTATTCAGTATAGCCCTTCTATAACATCAAACATAAATTAAAGATTTTTTTCACCGTCGATTGGCAACATAACCTGCTCCTGTTCATTGAAATTAAAAACGATTAACACCTGCTCGAGATATCGATTAAAGTTTAACATTAAATATAAGAGCTCGTAATTCCTTAATTCGAGTTAAATACTCAGCCCCCCCCCAATGGGTAACTTTTTATTTTATAACGCATATGGTCTTATGACGTGTTTGATTCTTGACCCATCACTCATATCATAACAAGGAAATCGTATTATTTCATGATAATTATTAACTACATAAAGATAGGTGATAGTTATTAATTTCATAGTAACTATTATTTGATTTTTGTTATAATTATTAAAATAAAGTTTATTACCATTAATCGTTATTTAATTTTCGTAGTAATATAAAGGATTAGTAGTAATTTGTAATTTTGTATAGATAATTAACACTGACGAAAAGACACGTGTTACACACACGTCACCAAGTTATACATCATACAGAACAACATATCATCAAGTTCTGAATGGTATTTATAATAGCCTCTCATAATCACCATTCTAAGACGACCACCTCTGAAAGTGATTATTATCACTAAGAACCTACTGAATCACCTCTCTAAAGATAACCATATCAAAAATAGACCAAAAGCGTCTGGAAAATGGATGGTCATCACTAAGAAGAATTCACTGTATTTCCCATGATATCTATGATCAGCAAGGACCTATATACTTTAGTTTCAAAATTAGGCGACATTAAATTAAACGCTAACATAATAATATAGAAAACAAAACAGGTAAATGACATGATCAATCATGTAGTTATTTTGTCAGCAAAAATTTCCCCTGATTCAGTGATTCATTCACAGCTATCATCAATATTAAACAAACAGTAGTGAGTTAAATTCTTTTTTAACCCTTCCAATTTCAGCATGCCTTCGTGAGCAAGGACTGACAGGAATAGTACTGCCGATCGGCACGCACCTCATATGTTAAGTACCTTGCACTTTCCGTGTCAAAACAATCGTTCGTTTCTCTTTGAGTCTTGAAAACCTAGCGATATTATATAATCGCTTTCAGAAAGGGCCATGGACTACTACAAACGTTCGCCGCTTCCCGCTGTGCTCTGCAAAGTTCAATGGACTTGGACACCGATTCGGCAATCATCCTGCTTTTCCGTATTCTCTCCCGCATTGTGTCCATTGCTCACTTTCTCTTCCCTTGCGGCTATTGGGGGATAGACGGCTTGCCGCAGGCGGAAGTGGGGAACTGCCGCTGCCCGCGCACGTTTTCATCCGTTGTGCTCTTTATTTTTATTAAGTCCATTCTACGAAATTAAAGGCACTGAGTGAGAAACACAATGAACGGGGAAAAGTGTGATTCAATGGATTGTAGTGCCGGAGAAAAAGGAATTCCAATTGCCGTTCATTCAGTTTTGGAAAGCTGTGATGGATTTCTCTCTCTCTCTCTCTTTTTTTTTTTTTTTTTTTAGATGTATTGGGAAAAAAAGAGGGCGGGAGTACTGGGGAATGACTGCCATCTGTTCAAGTTTAAAATGCTTTGTCAAATTCAGAAAGAAACCGGTTAAAAATGCTTTAATCTACCTAACTTACTCTGTGTCGACAATAGCATCATTCTGTGTCGACAATAGCATTACTCTGTGTCGACAATGCATGAAGCATATTTATTATTAATTATAATAAAATTTTTAACATAATTAATAGTTATTTTTACTATCATAAATGCTTTGAACAGGCTTTCTTATAATATAGCCATATATTTTACAAATTCCGCCAAACCATTCTAAAACTGTGCATTTAACAAAAATATACTCTCATTTTAATTTATTCAAATTTTATTGTAATTAAAATGTATTCCCATACAATTTCTATAAAAAGGCAGTTCAACAGACGGCATAATTAATTGTCAAATAAAACTATCTTTCTTGCATACATATAAAAATACTAATAACAGCAAAAATTAAATTTTTTCTCATAAAAGACTGAAAATGTTCGGAGCTCCAAAAGAATCTACGCTTATGATCCTAGACTAAATTTCCCTCTGAAATGAGCAAATAACAACTGCAGGATATTAATTTAGTAAACATTTGAGATGATCTGGGGTTAATTTCTAATATTAGAAGTATCTGAGCACTACAGAAGGCTGTCAGCAGCGATGAACAAAAATAAATTAAATTAAACAGCAATAAATAAAACAGTTAATAATTAATAATTTAAAAAGTTAGAGGATTAAATATAAATAAATTAAATTAATTACGGATAATGATTTAAACAAATTAAAATATGCAACTGAAATGAAAAATTTAAAAAAAAAAAAAAAATTGAGTGAATCAGGGCTTCTTAACCTTTTTTCAGTCTTGACCCCTTTCCATCACCGATTTTTTTCCGCGACCACAGGACCCCATAATACTTACGAAATTTTTATGGGACTCCATAAGCATTGCGCAAATCCGACACACGCGTGAGTGAAACTGTCAATTTTTTCACTTGTACTGTAACTATTGCAGTTTTAGGTCATTAACTTTAATTTCTAATATTCAGACATAGAATAACGTGAAAATTTTAAATAAGCAGCAGACGAAATGACAGCGTCACGTGCAAAGCAAGTAAAATGAACGTTTATATTATAAAAAAAATGCGTCGAAAGGTTTTCTTTTCTTTTTTTTTTTTTTTTTTTCTTTTTTTTTTTGTGTGTGTTTGTGTGTGTGTGTGTCTATAGTGTCTTATCTTTATCTATTTTCAAATACACTGTGTAAAAATATTTGGTAATTGTAAAATTATTATAAGTTAAAAAAATATCAAAACTACTAAAATTTTTGGCGCCTCCCTTTGGGGTCGCGATTCGCAGTCTAAAAAAATTGTGGAGTAAATTAATAGGTAATTGAAACAAACTAAAGTAAGAATTAAATGAATAACAAATGAAAGTTGAGTAAATTTATAAGGTATTTTCTCCTTTCTTCCTGCATGCGTTTGTGGTGCAACTGGAAACACGTTCAAAGCGTATGGAGACCAGGATTTCGAATTCCGGGCGAGGATTCATTTCACTTCTCTTCACGCATCAATATAACTTAATGATGACTCTACAAATAAACAGTAACAAGACATGGCACCGAAGATAAAAGAAATGGAGTAATTGAGAAACATTTTTCTCGATCAGCTAAAACTGCATTATTTTCATTTTTAATACATTCGAAGCCTTCATGACCAGAGAAGTATAGCCATAAATATTGCCCCTCCTGATGTGATACGGATTTATTTTCTTAGCTGTTCAAGTTTTCTGATATATTTTGCATTTCCTAGATGCATTCAGTAACGAGTGTCAATATTTTTTATTAACTGATAAATAAAATGTTTTTATGATGATAGGAAATTCTATTAACATTTTGCTTAAGTTATGTATATATGATTAAGATAGAATAACACGCCAAATAAATATTAATCAGCGTTTATATCGCTTTTTTTTTTTTTTTTTTTTTTTTTTTTTTTGTCGTTTGACTTCTAAATTAATATTATGTATATATGGTATGGTTTTGTTTGAGGCTCCTTGACAGGAGAGCTATGGACGAAAATCGGATTTCTCTCAAAACAGTGAAACTGAATTTAAACCCGGAAGATGATCTAAATAATACACCTCGCTAACTTGCAATCTTTCAATGCACTTACAACTTTATTCAGCATGCCTTGTAATAAAATGCAGAACCTACATTGTCCCAAACTGCCCTTCTCTGATTATGGATTAGGTTACAGAACATGAAGAGCTTCAGTAAGATGATATTTTCAGTTTTCATATGCCCTAAAAAAAGAAGAAAAAATAACATAAAAACCTAATATGAAACCGCCATTAGTATCACCTAATGGGATTCGGGAGTATGGAGGGGAAGGAATCATGTTTCTGTGCCTATACATTCATATTGCTATTAAAATGCAATAATGATAAACTCGATTTGTGTGAAGAAAGGCATTTTACTCTTACTATTTTTGGAAAAAGGTTTCCTTGTAAAGACATTAGGTATTTTTTTTAAAGCAGGAGAGATGAAAAACGAGCGATGCCTTCGCCGGGACTCGAACCACGGACCTCTCGAATTCGCCTCGAGTGCGCTGACCACTACACCACGAAAGCCTGCTAAGGAGGCGTGAGAAATACCTTATATCCTTATATAAAAATGTACTCACTAAAACTAATAAATTTTCATATTACATAGGTTAAAAAGTAAAATATTAGATTCGAACTCCATGATACAATTTTTGATCATGGATTAATTACGCATTTAGATTTTTTTGAAATACGAAATACCTGACATCGAAACTTAATGAACTTGAAGAAATGTAAACATACACATTTTTATACAGTATATAAACGTATACACAGTAAAAATAAGAAGAGCAGCACTAAATTACATGAATGTTTTTTTTTTTTTTTTTTTTAGTTAGCAGAGTACTTAGGAAACTCAACTGCGCGTATTTGAAAGTAATTTTGGATATTTTGCAATATTTTACCAAAATTTCTTTTTCCCCGACAGTTGGTATTAGTAACACTCCAGCATGTGAATCAAATAATTCTGTGAAAGTGTTACAACTTCCCGAATAGCTGCTCACCACTGCAAAACACAATAATCACACCATGTTAAAACCGTTAAAAGCGTGCCCGTTTCCACCGTATAAATGCCTCCTCCTCGTTAGACAGCGGAAACGGAAAACACACTGCTGGACGCATCTTCATTTCGCACGGCTCGCGAATCATTTGTAACGAATTTAGGTTTGCTGCTGCTGTTCAAAAGAGCTCATTAGTACGAACATAAGATCCAGTACTTCTCTTAACGCGAGAACAAGTTTTGCGAATAGGAACCAAGAATATGCCAGCTGAAAACACTTGCGCAGACCAGAGATGTTAATGACACGGGTTGAACTGACAGATGCTGTTCGTGTCAATGCCTCTCGAAATTATTTAACTAAGATCTTCGTCTGCAGATCTAAAGACAAATCAAAATATTTGGCGAATGAGACTAAATGGTGATCGGTTAATCCAGAGTTTCGAATGAGAGGTATTAAATAGAGAATATCGGTTATGAAAGAGTACACCGATCAAACTAATAAATAATTAACAACGTTTTATTGTCCAATGCGGCGTAGCGAAAGACAAACATTAATACTGCACAAATTTGCAAAACATAAATAAGTAAATAAATAAAAATAAAATTAAAAGGGCTTCAGATTTTAATGGTCGCCCAAAAGAGTTTGCTAACGTTTTTAACGTTCGTGTTGAGGTCGCCCAAAAGGGTTTGTTAAAGTTTTTAATGTTCTTGTTGAGGTCGCCGTCTACCAATTTGCTCTTATACTTAGTCCTGCTAACCCTTTCTTTCTTTTTATTTTTGGAGGGGGGGTCTTTTTAGCTTTATAATTAAGCATCGTTTTCTTCGCACTTACGCCACATACAGTTCAACATCAAAATCAAAAACGTTTTAATACGCCAAATACAGTTCAACCATCAGAATCAAAAATGTTTTAATGACAGCATTATATTTAGAATACCCGATGCAATATTAAATGATGGCATACATTTTTCTATGGTTTTTTTTTCCAAGTCTTCTTGAAGTTTAATATATCAATATTCAGTTTTCTTAGGAAGATGGCTCGGAAACATTTTTTTTTTTGTCTTTTTATTATTAACTTTTTGTGTGTTAACTTTATTTATTAAATATCAATTTCACAAGTTTTTATTCCTTAGTTTTGTGATATCGTTTGGAGATAAACGCTGCCGAATTTGGCGATTGATCATCGATTGCCAATAGAATTCACAAATACCAATAAAACTTTCATGTTTAAAAAGAAAAAAAAGAAAGAAAGAAAATCTGAAAAGATTCAGATTTCTAACGTCGCACCAGATGATTTGTTTAAGTTTTTTACGCTCTCACTAAGGATCACGGGTTACTAATCTGCTCTTGGACTACGTCCTGCTAACACTTTTTTTTTTTTTTTTTTTTTTTAAGCTTTATTATTAAACACAGGTTTTTTCACACTAAAGACACATAAAATTCAATTCAACAGCAAAATCACACAATATTTAAAAAAAAAACAGTATAGAATATGTTACAGGTTGCCGTATATATTTTTATGCTCATTATAATATTTCTCTAAAAATTACCGTTTGAGCTGCTAGCTGTCTAAAATAGTTTTCATAAAAAAAAAGAAAAAGTATATAATAATTTCAGTGAGTTAAACTAATATAATTTCATAAAAATATTGAATATTTCTCATTAGACATCTCAGGATTTTAATATATGTTCATTTAGATCAATTACATTAAAAAGTAGAAGGAAATGTTCTTAAAATGTATTTATTGCTTTTAAATCACTTAGTTTATTATTAGTCAATAACTTCCTAGATCAAATTTGAAAGTATCTTACGCTTTAATGAATGACAACTCACTGGTGCGGGGAAGATAAAAGTATTTTATTTCCGTTCGCGGCAACATACTGGTTTCATACAGCCAAGTTTGTTAATTAAAACTGAAAGATAAATTTCTTACATTTTTCGAATGGCACCAGTCTCGCAAGCTGTAGATAATTTTCTTTTATTTCGAACATTGTTACCACTCACTGCTCACTTTCAAATCGTTGAGCTTCTTAACCAAAAATTGTTTAAAGTTTTATAAAATATTAAATAAATAATAAAAAATTCAAAGTTCGGGTTCCATTTGCACATGTTCGGATGGAGGGCTATGCTATTCAAAATCTGATAGCCTTAAGAACCGCCTTTTTTTCACAGTGCGAGTAACACACACAGATACATGCAGATTCTTCATCATTTAATTTCTTTAAATATAATACAGGACTATAATATTTTGTGGGAACTATTTGAAAAGTGACATGCTATTTACAGTGAACTGCGCCAAATCCCATTTTGAGACTAATAGCCACTTTTAGGCTACTAAATGAAAGCTTATTTTGTAAAATTCAGTGTAATTTGTAGTAATTTTTTTCAGTCCACTTGCTCTTGATTCGCAAATGAACCTCTTTTAATAATGAGTCCCTTTTCCATTTTTATTATTTTACATGCATCTGAATTTGGTATAATCGTATTTCAATTTGTAATTATCTAGCATTTATGACTTGGAAATGATTTTTAAAGGAATTAATATGCAAACAATTGTTTCTCTTTAATTCAAAAGTGAGATCAGGGCAGTAGAACTAAGGCACACAATCTTTCGAATTCATCCTCGATACGGTTTCCATCGATCCACACAACTTCATTCATTTCTCAGTTGGCATCAGTTGAGTCATACAAGAAATGTCTAGAGAGTTTGATATAATTCACAATTTTTTCTTTAAGTAACTAAAAGATTTTCAAAACATGCAGTTATTTTTGAAACAAATAATCACAAGTATCAGATGAGATATAAATTTGTTCAGTATTTTAAAGACATTAACATGAAACACTTACTTGTGATACTGGGATGAAAACAAATAATGAGGAACCACACCTTAATAGCCCCCTCCTCCAGGTGCTCGCACCGTGAAAGATAATTTGACTACCACTCTATATACATATATAGTGCATGAACATTCCAAACAACTCATTACATATTCTTTCCACGAGCACTTATCAGATATTGATAAAGAGTATATATTTTCATCAACTCCTAATAGGCAATTGTTTCAGAATATCATTGTTAAGAATATGTAGAGGTCGTTAAGACACTTTCCTCTGGTATTTTTATTTGCTGAAATCGCTGGTAGTTTCCTGCGACCTAAGATTATGTGTACAGCATTCGTTTCCAGGCTATATTAAACTAGAATTCTTTGCTACTTTGATTTCAAAATTTTAAGAAAAGAAATGCAACTACTTAATAAATTTAATTGCTACTTCTTTCAGGATGCTAGATACAGTTTCAAAGTTTAGCTGGTTTTCACAGTCGATGTAAATAAATATAAAGCAGTTATGATACATATTAACATTATAATCAGTCACTATTTTTTTTAGGATGATAAATTATGTTAGGAATTTACAAATTTACATGAGTACTACCTACATTCTTACAGTTTGTTTTAGTAGATGAATTAATAACAATTTATGTTTTATTATATCAGGGATGTTAAGAGATTAGCATCAAATTTCTAAAATCGCTGCATTTATACGCGTCTAAGTAAAGTGAAGAGTCTACAAGGTTACCACTATGGTTCCCAGATGATTTCATTTTTATGTAGAGGTGGTCGTTTTAAAAAGGTTATATTCATGTTTGTTATTTATGTGTACTTGTCAGTTTCATAAATGTTGTCTTAGTGAACAGATCGCCAAGATTCATTTGTGGTGCTGTACAATACTGTATTTATTTGTTTTGTGTGATTGCGAATTTGGATACATTTATTTTAAATTCTATATTTTTGTAAATTTATGTGTAATTAGCATAATAATGTGCATACATCAATATGCATAAAAATAAAATTTACATATTATCGTTGTGTATAATTGTGCTCGTATTATAAGACATTTTCTACCTCCTTCTTGCATGCCTTCGTGGTGAAATAGTTGTACACTCGGTGGGTTGGACCCTAATCCCCAGTCGCCCTTTAAAAGAGGGAGTATATAACGTATTTTTGTACTTTCACCTACTTTCTGGGTGCCTTCGTGGTGTAACGGTAGCACTCTCGGCGTGTATTCGAGAGGGCCAGGTTCGAGTCCCGGCGAAGGCATTGTTCATTTTTCCTGTTTCCTACTTAGAATCTTAATAAGTCTATACCGTAGTACATCCGTTTTTTTCGAGTATTTCTCTATTTTATATTACAATTTACTCAT